AAAAGAATAGATGGAATATTAAATGCTTTCAGAAAATGAGGGGGAAAGTGCACTATCTTTTAAAGTGAAGCAGCATGTATCGTTTCTCCTTCCATTGGCTGTTTATCCAACATCAATACAACACTTTAGGAGCCAAATTACTAAACAAGCTGCCAATTAGGCTTGCAGTCAGCTGGATAGATTAGTGGCTAAGAGAGGCAGATACAAGATTTTCATCTCTTGAGCCAATTACGCAAGTGAATTACCATCCACAATACTCCTTGGATGATTTGAGGTAGAAAGACTGACTCTGCTGTGATAGACATAAGTGAGATCCAGGGTAGGGGGTAAGGGTTAGCAGGCCATGTATTGCAAAAATTACCGAAGCAAAAAGAGATCCTTCTAGGAAAGGATTTAAAGGATTTAAGGCTGCTGGGAGCGATAGAAGAGGAAATAATAGTTGTGGTATGCTCTGCAAAGGCATTGCTGTTCTACTCACAAGTCTTAATCATATAAAAGAAAGATGAAAGGCCAAGACTATATTTATGTACAGTGTCATTTTCTCAGAACTGTTTAAAAACCCATTTTCTTAACATCAAAAATAGTTTGGTGGCCAGAGATGAAATTACTTCAATATGCCTTCTTTTGTTGCTTACAGTGGGGGGGGAATGGGGGGAGAGGGGAAAAAAACAATTTGTAAATAAGAGTTACTTAAGAGATTGAACCTAGCTGTATTCTGATTTTATTCACTCAAATAAACCAAACATATTTGATGTTAGTCTTATCCAGCAATTGGACCACACAAATCAATATTTTCACAGTAGTGGTTTGTGGGGTCACAGTTTCATTATTATTCTATAATAAATAATAATTTAATTGGTAAGCTTTAATTTTTTTAGAAGCATTTTGCAAATAAAATGGATCTGTCAGATCAAAACTGTGCATTGGCTCATTTGTTTCCTGCTGATGATGTTGTACACCGGTGTAACATTGTTTCTTAAATATGAGGCAAATTTAAAACCTGAACTTTTGCAAGCTGTTGTATCCAAAAATGATTAAACAGATGTGGAGCCTGCAGCAGCATTAGACCTCTGATCTGATTTTAGCTTACAGATGGAATTAAATTAATTCATGGCAATCATTGTAAAATCAAGGGTATGGCACTGAATGCTAGTGTACTGTTTAACCAGGACATACCTGTCTCAACAGCTGTTAAGAAAAAATTACATACCTTTATTTTTGATTGAAACCTGCCTTTAATGCCATCATAAATATCATACCAAAATTAAGCAAATGTGATGATTTTTTTGTTTTCCCCTTCCCAGGTTTGTCTCTTTCTACTCATAGGTTCCATATTCCATGTGTGTAAGGTCATATGTATAATATGTGTAGACCTTGAAGTATGTCTATTAATATACACAAAGGTTTTATGCTTTTTTTTTTTTTTTCCGCAGTTGTCAGTATTGCAAAGAAAAGGAACATAAATGAGGGTATTTGACAGTGTTGTCTTTTCAAGCAAGTCCCTCAGTGTTTGCTCCTCACTTGTGTAATGGCAGCCACTTCTACATGCGGACTGCTCATCTGGTAGATCAAGAACCAAGTTGTTATGGTTGCTAAAAACATTTTCAGTCTGTAGAAAGAAAAAGCTGCACAGGAGATTCCTACAAATTGTTAATACAGAGACTTCCTTGTAACTCCTGGAACCCCACAAAACTTCATACAGCAATAAACTTAGAAAAATGTATCCCCGCTTGTTTTTTCTTAATCAGATTTTGCATAGTTATTTTTTGGGGATGGCACAGTGGGTTGATTTTGCTCTTGCTCCTGGGTGGGTCGAGACTGAACACGTCCCAGAGGTAGAACAGCTGTCTTCAAGGCCAGTGTGCTTGGACCATTCTCTCTAACAGGCCCTACTGGCTAGTCCAGGAAGTGCCATAGGCATGAATTAAAAACTGAACTTGAAGATGAATATTGCAAGGACAATTACTGCTTTTAATTAGAAAATAAAAGCCCAAAGCACAGGAATGGGAGTCAGGGGAATAGCAGAGAGTGTAGCATGATTTTTAAGAGCTCTCTCCTGTCATGCAGTCAATCAGCAATGCAAATTATTATTTTTTTTCTGATTGCTGATTGGTTGTAGAATGGAGGAAGATGGCAATAGCGCTATCCATATTCTTCTGATTCAAGTAAAATACAGGTAAATTTTTCAAATGATGGATGAAACTTACAGGAATATTAAAGATATATATAGATAGTATTTATGTAAAAACTGACTATAATGCAAAAGAATGGCCTGCATATATTACATATTTTTCACAATTAAAAGGTATCCATATTCACCTCATTTGCAAGAAGGATTGATTAGTCAATTAGTAATATAGGCAAGTTGGGTGGGTTTTTGGTTTTTCCTTATTCTGGCTGCAATACAAAGCCTCCAAACACATTATCCTTTGGACAGTGTGTGCTGTTTGTTTGCCTAAAAGTGATATATGAAGCCAAGTTTACAGTGATTTCTGCTTTTTTTTCTTTCTTTTTTTTAAATCTGGTGATATATAGAATGAAACAGAACTCTTCAGTGGAGGTTTCAGTCTTCTTACAGGAGGTAGAAAAATATGGACGATGGAGAAAAAATAGTTATAGTATACATTCTAGAAGTACTTATATGTCTTTAAAAACAGCAAGTATTCTAATTGTCCTGTCAGTCAAAGGAAAAAAAAGAAAAAAAAAAATTGAGCTACCTCAAAAAATATCAAAAATGGAAACATCCATTTATTAAATAACGTCAGGGTACGGATTTTACTTTTATGTATCTTTTTTGTCAGATTGCTCTGACTGTCTTGGGAATTTAAATTCATTTAGAAAGGTACAGCTGTTACAGGGGAAGGTCTGTGGGTTCTTTGCACAAATAGACTAACAAAAAAAGCTGTTTAGATTGTCTCAGGCTATGCCTTGTATACCATTCCAGCAGCATTGTTGTCTTTGCCTAAGCAGCATTATGAATTCCTTAATTTTTCTAATTCTTGGATGTCATGAAATATACTTCTTTACTGCTTGGCAGATATGTTGGATCTTTCTTCTAAGTTTTTCTCTTAATTGATCCACAGATATTCATTGGAACAATGCTCCATTTCTTACCATCACTTGTGAAAAGTAGACCAAAGCACACTTCCAGGATTTTACCTGCAAAGTTTACCAGAGCTTTTGCTGGAACAGTAGCCTTTTTTTCTTTCCATTTTTTTTGATCTAGAAAGTGAAACTAAGAAAGTTGCAAAGCCCGTGTTGTGTATGCCAGGCAGTGTCAGGGACTCGTCTGTATGAAAATTCCCTCTGCCTGTGGGGGTTTGAAAAGAAAGGAAGTCTTGGACATTGAATTTTGTGCTGGTCAGTTCAAGAGGAACCCTCTTGGGTACTGGATGCTGCTGACTTAAAAGCCTTTATTTTAAGCCTAGCATTAAGCACAGCTTCAAAACAGTGTTAAAGGATGGCTTCTCTCAATGCTTTCCCCTTTTTCTTTCACTCAGGAGCTGACATACTAGAAAGCTGTCTACCTTTTATGTAGCCAGCATTTTATTGAATAAGAACAGATTATAGTGGATAATGCTGGAGTACTGTAAATTCATCATCACAATCATCATGAAGTTTTTAATGTGCACCTCTCATTTTGAACGTCTGTCTGTGTATGCTTTTTCCACTGTGGGACTTTTCTTTTTTTACTATGTGTGTGTGTGTGTGTGTGTGATAAATGAGGCTTTTCAGAAGTGCATGTTCAACTTTTCTTGTGTTCTTGTTTAGTAAGTTCATAGAATGATGAGCCAGCTGCTAGTCAATGGTACGTTCTTGATTGAAGACATCATAGTCTCCAAAACCATAGTCTCCTTCTACAGTATTTTTCAAAAAGGAGAAGGCCAGAATAAAAAGGTAGAAAGTTAAACAGATAATATTTGGAGCTGGGCACATGGTAGGGGTTTGTTCTGTTGTCAGGAGGAAGGGAGATGTTGAACAAAGCTGAAAACAAAATCCAGCTGCCTACATGCAACTGCTTGTGTTAGTTCAGAAACTTCAGCCCTTTTTAAGCTTGTTTGTATGGTGTAACTTGATAAGTTTTAATGCAGATTCTTGAAATAAATATAACTTGTATCCCACATGCAAGACAGTTATATATGGGAAGACTTATCCATGTATCATCTCCAAACTCTAGCTACAGGAGTTTGGTTGATGAGGGGAAAAAAACAGCTTTGTTACTTGACTTCACTTTTTTTTATGATGCATTCATGGAAAAAAAAATATGTTATTAAAGAAATTAATATGTCATATTAACACTTTCAATCCTGATGATCTTTTCTGCAGTATGTATGGAGGTTTTCTCAGAGATCTTGATGTATGGAGGGAAAAGTGTAAACAACATTTAATGGCATTGAAAATACCAAAAGTAAGCTTGGATGTATTACTCTCTCTTACAATGTTCTGTAAAAGAGAAACTGAGTAAAGATATAACTGAATTTCAGAATAGAAGACCACTTGTCTGTACTGTTTCTGTAACAACTGTAATTGTTTAATCCAAAATTAATTATTGTGTTTTATTGAAAGAGATGTTGAGCATTAGTAAATATTGCTAAGAATTGAAAGATCGTCATGTTACTATGATGTGCCTCAGCTTAGTAACTGTATAGGACAAGAAATTCAGGTAATCTTGCCAGTGCATTGGTAGACTTGTGCAAGTGATTCATGTTCTTTGAGATTGATGCAAAGTCTACTGTATTGGAATATAAAAGATCTGTGACAATATTTGTCATACTTAAAAACTGACTTTTTCAAAACATCAAAGATAAAGCAAAGTGTAAGACTGTATTATTTAGAATCATATGCAGTCAGGAGGTCAACATGTGCAAAGACAGCCTGTTCTAGCAACCTGTTATATGAATGAGGAGAATAAGAAGGTTTGAAGCTTTAAGGGAGATTATCCTGCTTGTCTCCACATGGCAGGCTGTGCTGATTAATGCTGTGTATTTCTTTAATCTCAGGGTTTGTTGGTGAAAACACCCAACCAATTCCAGAAAACAACATTGGAAACAGAATGCTTCAGAGTATGGGCTGGACGCCTGGCTCGGGCCTTGGACCAGACGGCAAAGGGATAGCAGAGCCAATACGAGCCATCCAGAGACCAAAAGGACTCGGACTTGGATTTAGCTGACAGAAATGCACCCTGGCTGCCCAATAAAAATAAAGCTCAGAATGAATTTAAAAATATGAGGAAAAAATTTAAAAAAAATGGCAAACATATTATTTGTGATCAGCAAATCCAGTTACTCTTCTCTCAAAGATCACTGAAGTCAGTGTGCTTCACATTAGCCACACCAGCTGCAAGGTACAGCCACAGTGACAGAAATGGCATTTGAGTCTAACTTTATAATGGTGCTAAAATGTACAAAATCTTCTACTTTTTTATTTTCTGTGGTCTTAAAGTTTGTATTAAGCATAAAATTCAGTATGTTCACTTTTTTTCATAAAAGCTTCTGACACAGCAGGTTTTAGTATATAAGCAATTTTTTTTTTTTAAGTATAATTTCATCTCGAGAGTCTTGATAAGATTTGTCAAGGAAAATTGAACTTTTTACAGCTATTGCTTTCTCCCCCTTTTCAGGCAAAGTTTCCAAACCTGGTATTTCTAGTGTTTAACAATAGTTGAGGATAAGCTGTCATTTTGCCCATAAGATATACACGTTTCCCACTGGAAGGTGATATGGTATGCAATTTTGTATAAGAGCATGAAAAATGGCTTTGTTGTCATAGGAATGGCATTCCAACACCATTATGGGGCAATATATCACTGTCTTCCACATTCAAGATCAAAAGGAAAGCTTTTATACTTGTTTTTACATTTACAAGTTTATCTCTTTTCAGCAAATATTTTAAAAAGTTAAAGTTTATTCTGACTTTGGATTTCCCTTTATATTAATATTCCCCCATGTTTCCACATTTAGGAATAGTTTGAGCTTTGAACCAGGAAATAGTATTTTAATGGTGACTGTCAGTGTTTATATTCTGGGATTTGGTGTATTTTAAACAATGCAGTATTCAACATCATGTTATCATTTAGTTTGTGATTGTGCTGGTGCCAATGAGCCACAACCTTTAAGGATCACAAACAGAAAAAGGGCAAGGAGAAGCAGGGTTAGAGTGGAGGAAAGAAACGAAAGAGATACTTTGATGGCATCTCACAAATCTAGGCTAGCAATTAAAAATCAAGAGGGATCATTAAGTGTTTTAATCAGTATCCTAATGTATCTAATGTCAACAGAAGCAATTTCACTAAGCGCCAACCAATCAAGCTCCTAGGGTACTTATTGGTTTGCAGTATAAAACAAATTCCACTTTAAAATTAAATGATAGGGCTGAAGGAAACTGTTGTTCAGATGGTCTAAGGAGAAAATCCTCTCCCTCTCCCGCCCACCCCGCTAGTAGTTGGCAATATTTACCCTGACTGCAGAGGGAACAGGATTTGATTCTACAGTCTTTTTTTCTTCAATAGGAAGATCTCCCTCTTTCTCTACTTCCAGACTGCAGAAAAAAAATACTTCTGGATGCTTTCAAAGATATTTCCTTCATGTGATTGTGAAATACAGTGATTAATTTTAAGAAGTTTTTTTATTACTTTTCTTTTTCTCTCAGCTTCACTCATTTTCAGAAAAATAACTATGAAAAAGAAGTAGCAGCAGCATTATAAGATTGAATTTGCTTAAAAGAAATGTTCATGCTTTCTACTGTGAGTACTGTCGGTTTGGGAATATTGATTCACCATACACGTAGTGTAGAGTAAAAGGTTAATACCTGTTTTTAACTATAGCCAAATGCACATGTTCTCTGAGTTTCAGGAGAACAATTTATTGCTGTTTAAATACTTGATATGATTGTGTGGGTTTGCTTTTTGAAATTATAAGAAATTTAAAAAAAACTTGGGATTTATAATTAACACATACACTTTTTATTGGAAGGTTTTCAGGCTTAGCATAATGTGAGTTTGCAACTTCAGATATCTCTTGAACAACTAGACTGAGTTAAATACATTCCATATCCAAAGAATTTCAGGGCCACATAATTGCAAAGGGCTGAGAGCCTGGAATTCTGCAGCTAGCAGAGGTGCCCACTTGTATAAGTGATATTTACAATAATTAATTTATGTAGTGTGGCATGCTCCCATTCTTTCAATGCAATGTGCTACGGAAAGCAAGTGTATTCTAAAGATCTCTTTGTATTGTACACCACAATCAAAAATTCCTTAAAATAATTTTCAACATATGAATTGTGAAGGTTAGTCTTTTAAGTTCTGTTTGTTCTAGTTCTATTTGCAAAACTGTAAAGAAATATTAATTCTATGTTAAAATTCTTCTGTTTTGCTTTGGTTACAACACCTCCATATCTTGGGCTGGAAATTCTAAGTATGGCACATATAACACTTGTTTGAAGTATTTCTGCGCAGTTTACCATTGGAGCGGTTTCTCAAGAAATCAGGCTGCAGCTCCAAAAGTATTTGAAAATGTTACCTATTTTCAAAAGATAAAAGGGAAATCATGGATACATGTTGAGACAAAACCTCTTTAGCCCATTCAGCTCTTTGTTCATCCATTCATACAGATACAGTGAAGCAGCCAACATAATGGAAGAACTGTTTAGTCTGATTGGAAATCTTACAACTTTTGTTTTAAGTCAGTCTATTAGTGAGAAACTATTAGACATTAAGATTAGTCAAATTGATTTCGATATAAAGATAGATACACTTTGTCTGTTTTCCAGCAGGTATTCTCATAGATGGCACAGCTGACAGCCAACTTTATCTGTTAGAAGCTTTGTAGAACAATGTGATTTATTGAAGTATTTTTATGTAGTGTTTTGAGAGATTTTTTTGTTGCAGTAAAATTTCCATTCTGAATCACACTATCATTTTGTTTCTGTTTTTCTGCATTGCACAGGGGTGGTTTTAAAGATACTTCAGTAGTGTGATTTTGCAGTTAAAACTAGTGGTAAGAAACAAAACAAAAATTGTATTCTTTTTATTTTTTAAACTGTTGCAGTGTTAGTTGGCTTTGAAACATGCCAGAGTAATTGGATTTATTGGGTTTTTTTTTTTCAGGTCTTTCCCACCTAACTTGCAATCAAACTCTGATACCTGCTGTAAAGCTGGCTCAATGTATTTTAAAATACAAATACAAGTATTTTCAGATACTAATTCTTAATCGCTGTGACACTGAAGGGCTTTATGCCTACATAAATAAATATGGGATCATCTTGTATCTAAAAGTTACCATCCATCACTTGCCAGATTCTTTCCATTTAGGTGTTTGATTAATCAGTAGCTCAGCTGTTACCATAATATTCTTCCTCTGCAGATTGTTTAGTGAAGAGAAGAGATGTTACATATTATCAGCATTGCATTTTCCTACATATTCCATGGTGTCTGAAAGTTCTGTGAATTGAGCCATTAACTGTTAATAAAAGATACCCGTGAACAGTACCTTATTTTTAAATAAATATTTGTCAAAGTCGGAGAAGCATTATCAATATGCTTATTTTAACAAGTTTGTCCCTGCATTTGTCTTTCTGCAATTAGGTCAATAATGAATGTAGAATGGCGGTAAATAGCTAAATAATATGTATAGAATGCTTTGCTATAACAACACAAATGCAAGATGAAATAAAATAAATAGACTCCGTTCTTCATGGGTTTTGTATGTTCTTTTCCTTAAACTGCCATTTTCAATAACATTGTTATTGCAGAGGTGAGTACAAAAACATGCTGTTTCTGGAAATACAATTAAGGTTGCTAATACCTTGTACCCAGCAGATGCATATGATGCTAAAGTTATTATGCTACCTTATATGTACCTTTTTACTAGTACTTCTTTTCTAGGTTATTATTATCCAGCTGAGACGGTTACACCAGGAAATGCCTTAAGAAGTTTGCAGTACTTTTGTTATCGTATTCTTCTAAGACTTTTAAATTCAAGTTCTCTTCACTTTTTAAGTATGTGTATACTTTGATAACTGTGACAGGACCTTGTACTTTCTCTTCAAACAGTTCTCCAGAACTGTTCCACCAAAAACTCACACAACCTTTCTTTTACTTTCCTTCTCCCCACACTCCCAGGGCAGTCTCAGGAAAGGCATATCAGAAATGGGGATCCTTTCCCTCTGAAGTCAAGAAATTTTTTAATTAGACTTTAATCTCTAGCGGAGTTTTCAGGAGCAGTTCCGTACACAGCAGTTGCATAATCGAGTTACCCACAATAGAGTCCCATACATAAGGGCAGTGCATGTGTTTAAGTCTGAAAAAACACAGTCTGAATTATTTCTTTATCAACCTGTAGTCCAGCTGTAAAGCTAATGTAAAATGTTAAAGAGACGATGGCATTTTTAAAGATTATTATATGATTTTGCTTTGAATTCTCCCTGGGAAAGATTTTATTGTGTTTAAGTGGACTTTCTTCACAGATATGATATTCAAGATAGGGAATTTTTTTTTTTTTTAATCATCTCTCTATACCAGAAAAAGGCTTCAAGGAGGTGCAGCAATTTCAGCACTGATCTGCTTGTCTCAAGTGGGGTTTTTTGCTAGAAAAACTGGAAAACCTTTACCAGCATTGATTGATATAAGCTGTATCTACTATCTACTAAGCTATAAGAGAGTTTGTTCAGTAAAATTATTAACAGATTTTTTAATGTAAGTGATCTGCACCTGTGAGTACTGTGGTTATTAACAGCTTTGCAAAGTGGTTTGAATTAATATGAGGTATTCCGTCTATAGGAAGCTAAGATTTTGGCCTGACTATATCATTGCTATAACGAATTTAAGTATTGGGGAGTCTGAATTCTGAAACTGAATATAAGTCATTAGTCTCTGAGGAATGTATGTTTTATTGTAATATATTTACACTGATTAAATATGCAAATATTTTAAAATAAATTTCAGCATATTTGATCATAGATATGCTCAATTTAATTGTGCTTTGTTCTAGTGTTGTCTTTCATCTTTAACATTTGTCCATTTTTCTGATAAAGTGTATCCCTGTATATGTTTTAAGTAATAATACCCAGTGTATTCTGTCTTAAAGTGTTAGTTTATGTATGTGCTAAGTGATGCCACTCAAGATTCTGTGTCATTTCTACTAGTCTAGTGAAGTTGTTTTTCAGTACCTCCCTAGACCAGTTTTCTGAATGGCCTACTGTTGCCTTCATCAGTTGTTGTAAGAGATTTTGACACTGAAAACTTGAAATTTCTTTAGCCTAGGCAGGCTGTTGTGTTGGCCCCTCTCTTTCCTGTGGCCCCAAGCCGAGGAAGACTGGAAGATATGTAATACTTTCTGCACATAAATATCTCCGTTGACTTGAATATGTGAAGTACTACATAGGTCTAAAAATAAGCATGCATGCAAGTGTTTGCAGATTGGGGCCTTAACTTCCTTCCCTGTAAAAGATACAGGTCCTAAATTTTCCATGGCATCAGAGTTCCCGCAGACCCCTGGAGCCAGCTCCTCTTCGCTGGATCGTGCTGGCCCATCGTCAGCATTGAGCTTCTTTAGAGCAGCTGTCTGGCTGCTGTAATGTACGGGTTGGCTTGTGGTTGTCAATCTGTCTGTCCTTTCAGTATCGAATGCGGTACATCCCAGCAGCGCAGGGAGTCAGGGTGCTGCTTCAACCTGGAACTTCTCCACTTTGCACAGCTCGAAATAACACACAATAGACCACTCACACCAGGTTGTCTGGGCCACAGTTGACACCATCAGGCAGGCGGTCTAGTACTGGGTGGTGGATGTGTGTGCTATGTAGTCATGCACTCCAGCAAAGTAATGAGAAAAAGGGGAAGAAGAAACTATAAAATGTTTTCGGTTCAAAAAGGATATAGCAGAAAAGTAAGAATTGTAGATAATGGAAAGTATCAAAATCATTTCTGAGGCTATGATACAATGAGAAATTTGAAATCTCTCTTAAATTTGGGAGCAGATGAGTAAGGGAAAACATGTATGCAGAAGGAAAATGTAAATGTCCCAAGTAATATTTTCTCTAATTTATAAAAAAGGTGTCAACATTAAAGTGTTTGGCAAAACAAACTCAACGTTTTGACTCACCTTTTCGACACGCTGGAAGCTTTAGTACCTGAGGTAAGTTAAACTCATGCATCTACTGCTTTAAATACTTTAAACTTTCTCAGTGTGTCAGCTTAGTCAGCTTATTTTACCCTTGTCCACTCTTAAAACTTCCTCCATCTTCTCAAGAGTCTTGTATTGTTGGTACTGGACCTCAGATTGCTCCCTGCTTGTCCATTTCCATGAGTTTTGTTTTCTGATTTAATGGGCTGTGATTTTTTTTTTTTTTCCATTCAACTTCCTTGGAAATTGACTATAACATGATTTCAACGTATTATTCTATAAGGTAGATTTAAGTGGTGCAAGGAGATTCTCTGAAGAATAGGGACAAATGAGTTTTGGTTTTTCCTCCCGTAAAATGTTTCTGCATTTAGATCCTTGATTTCTTTGAAGAACCTTACTGCTGTTCACTGTCCTCCCATTGGTTTCTCTCTTGCACAAACATGGCTGTTTTCTTACAAAATATTGTGGTGGAGGGCACAAGAATTTTTCCAGTGGTTGCATTTGCAAGTATGCATATTTTCAATTTTGTGCTTTCAGTTTCAAGTAGTAAGAGTTAAGTTTGAATTCCATGTGTTGCCTTATGTTTTTTTCAAAATGTTCCAGGTTACCTCAAGCATCTAGATGTTCTGCCATTTGTGAAGAAAGTGGAGTATTTATCTAACATTTTCTAAATGCCAAGACATCAGTCTATGTGATGCTGGCCCTCTCATTTCTGGTAGTAATAGATACAATCTCCAACATAAACCATAAATACCTAAGAGTAGTTAATACAAGGTGTAAAAATTGCTTGATCAAGAATACCAGTGATACTCAGGATGTTAATTTGGATTAAACTCAAATAGTTCCAGTACCTGAGAGAAAACGTTAATAATCTGTTCCATATTTCTTTTTTATGTGCCATGGTATGCCTTACTACTGAAATAAGACATTTTGAGAGTGAACCAATAATAATTTTAAGGGTTTTCTTAAAGTGATGTAAATAATAACACAATTACCAGGTTGCCTTTTTACTCATTGCAATGTGTAAGCTGATTTATTTTTCATCTTCTTTTTGTCAGTGAACATATGAATGCTAGTGAATCACAGTTCTTGTTAACTGGATTTAGGCAATTTCTACCCATTACCCACAAAGATAGTTCAACTCCTAAACAGCAGCTCTTGGCCAGGAGTTTGACAGAACACGAAGCGTGGGCAGGAATGCTGCCGCTTGCAAAAGTGTTGGAACAGAGAAGAATTTACCATCTAGAGAATCCTCCCACCTTTCAACCTCTACATTTCACCTACCTGCAGTTTTCCCAGTAGGCATAGGGTTTTCTTGGAGCCCCAGGTCAACAAAGTACATTTTGAAAAATACACGGTTGCTCCACAACTTCCTTTGGAATTGTTGAAATGTCCCGTGAAGGGAACACCATCTAAATCAACCTCCGCTGCCCCCAGTAGTAACCATGTTACCTGTTACTGCAAGTTGAAAGTATCATTGCCTTTGCCATGAGAAGTTTGGGTTGTGGTTGTTCTGGATGAGGGAAGCTCCAGCAGCTGCTGTTCTGGAGCGAGGTCTGTGACCACCCGCCCCGTGGACCCGTGGCACATTGGCTCCAACGGGCTAATCCCTTCAGGTTTAAAGAAGGGCCGGCACCAGTTTCTGAGAGGTGCTACCAGTAACATCCTGGTAAGTGCAGGCTTGGACTTCCCAGAAGGGTCAAATATGCTGATCATGGAGTTCCATGGCTACTACCATGGGCTTTTGTCCCTGGGACGGGCTGCCACTTTACTGTGGAACGGAGAGACTGTGAGCTTCATGTATTTGGCATGCAGGATCTGTTACAGGTGCAGATTTGTAGGCAGTGGTTTGAGACTGAGATCATTACAAATGAACCGCTACAAGACTAATTGTACTGGACCGTGGCAAAAAGGTTACAATGTCATGGCAAGGGAAGTTATCCTGTGGTGATTTTTGTCACCATCCAGGATAGCAGCTGTTTGAATAATTTTGTCCAGAACCACATCCCTGCACTGTCTTTGGACCTGGTGAATCAAAAAGGCAAAACTAAAAAAAAAAAAAAAAATAAAAATAAAAAAATAAAAAAAATTATGTTTCACTGTGTAGTTGAGAAAATTATTTGCCTGTATGTGTCTACACAAACACACATGAATGCATATAGATTTAGATCTCTATAGCAAACAGTGTAATACATAAAATTATGAAAACAATAGTTAAATGCTAGGATGTTTGTTAAATGGTCACCCCACATACCTCACAGAAGTGAGACAAAACCTCTGGTTCTGCTGAGCCTGCATTACTTAAAAGGGGTGAGTTGCTTCAATGAAAGTCAATAAATCTGCAATGTATTGTTTCATATTCTGTCTTTATGTAAACCTACCCAGGTTTTTTCAGTTGTCTTCTTCCTAATCAGTGGTAAAGTGCATTTAATAGCTCACTTAAGGTGTCATCCATTACTATGAGTTACTGTTAGAACTAATTAATAGAGCTGAAATTATTTTGTAATGAGAAATTGAAGTATTGCAGTGTTAAAAAAAAAATTACCATTCATAGCTAATTAACGTTTAA